CCGGCAGCATGTGTCGGTGGCTTTATTAATCGGGCGCACAGGTGGAAGCCGAGTGCCGCTGCCCGAACAAAAATATACACAAGGCACAACGACGCCACCACGCCGAGGAATAAAGTTGTTGCTTGTAAGAACCAGTACAATATTTACAAATTATCAGAAAAACGTGCACAGAAACGCATGCATACTGTTTGCTGAAGCATTGAACCGTTAAAAAAGAGGGAAAAAACTACCACTCCCAAAGGTTTGTGTCTCGCACAACTATACAATATGAAAACTTTGATCTATGGCAAGAATAGCGAACCCTTACCCTTCCGCCGCTCCCCAGCAGCCTCTCGCCGTCCATGTCATTACATTATTAAGCCTAGCAAAAGTCTTCCTCGCGCTGCAGTCCGTCCGTGTTCGATATGCCGCCGATCCGTTCCCGCTACCTGTAATCACGTGCGTGACGCGTATGGGGCGGCCGACGGCTGCAATCGCACTCTGCTCCCGCCCGCCTCGCCTCGCCCCGCCTCGCCCCGCCTCGCCCCGCCTCGCCCCGCCTCGCCCCGCCAGGCCACAGGCCAGGAGCCCGAGGAGGCGTCGGCGGCGTCTCCGACAAAAAGGAAGGATGGAGGAGTATATACGACGGCGGTCCCGTAATCGAGCACGCGTTGCGGGTGGGGCACGGCGTGGCGAGGCAGCAGCAATTTGACTTTGCGGATAAGAGCAGAGGAGGGTGGGGGAGGGGGAGGGAACCAGGGAGCGCAGTCCATGTGTAAGCGTGTGCTGTGCTGCTGCGGTCCCTGCCGCACTCTTCTTCACCTGCGGTCGCCTTGTGTGCACACCGCGCCCCGCCGTGCGGTCAGCGTGTGTATGTGTGTGTGTGTGAGAAAGAGAGAGAGAGAGAGAGAGATTATCCGAGGGGAGTTAAAATGCTCACTAGTACAGCGCACATACAGCTATAAAAACAACGAATCTGAATGTACACGTGGTTGTGGTTTCTAAACACACTGCCAGCAGCCAGCATCTCATCTTTAACAGCGACAAATTTACAGGCGAATAAAAACAGTGATATCTCCAACGAAGCTCTGCGTAGTTCAGAAACGACTGAATTGAGAAAGCAGATAAATGGTTTTCAATGACATGTGTGACGAGAATACATGAACGAGATCATCGGTCTTTTCCTCTGGGAATGAGCTCCAGTTCATAGCAGAGAGCACACGTTCACGTTCCTGCTCTATGTCTGTATCAATAATGTTCAGTTGGCGCCGAGGCCCAGGCAGACAGGTGAGAGGCTGGGTCCAGCGCTGGGTCCAGCCCAGCGCGGCCCGGCAGGCTCACGGGCCCGAGCACCGCGAGTAGTGTGCATCGCGCATGGAATCTGTTTAATGGCCAACAACAAATAGAGGGAATAGATTAGTTATCGGGCCGCATGCAGCCGGCCAACGGGACGCATAAGCGAGGCAGGCATGTTGGTTCCCATAATATAACGCCGCGGCTGTGCGGTGTTTTGTTTTGTTTTTTAAACTTGCGCGCGCTCGCGAAGGTGAAACGTATCGTCCTGCTGTGGGAATGCGCATGCCTCCATTATAATTATTATTTGCTGATGCTGACTCACCGATTATTAGGCCGTTTCGCACAAATATGCACCGACGGAGCAGCGGTGAGGGGAGCGGCGACGACTACGACGGTGCGAGGTCTTTCCCTGCTCACCTGCAAAAAAAGAAAGTCTATGAGGCGCGAAAAGTTCAGATGATACACGCGATATATTTATCCTACTTCTCAGTGGACCAACTGTTAAAAGACATAATTGTCAAACCTGTTACCAACACCTAAACGGGGGGCCGTTATATTTAGTAATATACACTTGTATTCTGTAGTTCGATTTGCTGAGAACGCGTCACAGGAACGCATGACTCACAAGCACAGGTACAAATACAAACGCGCGCGCCCGCACACACAAACACACAGAGGAGGCGATCGGTGCTCGCGGCGAGCATAATGAAAGGGCTGAGGAGATTGGAAGTTAAACAACTTTCTATCAACAACAATCAGACGCATCAGTGGCGCTGCTCCGCGCGGCTCGCACAGTCACTCGGCCCGCCCCCGCCGCCTCACCCTGCCGGCCGATCACGGACGGTCGTGTGGAAAGGCGAAACCGAAATGAATACGATATCACGTCATTAGATGCTATCAAACAGGGCCTTTCGACCAGTGCGGTATGAACAGAGAAGCAGGGGAAAAAGAGCGAGCAGGAGAGAGGAGTGCGAGATCGAAAGAGAAAGAGAGCGAAGCAACCGGGTCAGCAGGAGGCGGTTGGTGTCTTAAAGATACGGCGCTATAAAAAAGGCCGGCGCGCAGTGCAACCACAAACACAACGCCGCCAGCGAGCTGCTTAAACAACCTCTCGCCCACCGCCGCACGAGATGTTACACGACTCGTTCAGTCGAGATGATCGTTGAACAATCCAATTTAATAATAATAATAACTTTTGTTGTTGACAGAAGAAGAACGCGTATAGCACGAGCGGGAGCTGCGGGTGTCTCCTGGAGCTGAACACGGTCGACACATTGAACAAGCGCCTCAGCCGTCACAAAGCGTTCCGGAGCGCGTTATGTCCGTCTTGGATCCAATATTCGCTCCATCTCACGCCGGCTCATCAGTGGCCCCCCGGGGCGGGTGGGCAGCGCCCCCCCCCCCCCTCTCTCTCTTTCTCTCTGACGAATAGCGCACGACCACGGCCTTAATCATATGTGTTCCATCGCGCGCTATAAACATTGCACGGCGATAGAGTATTGAATACGATAATGATGTTGTAAGATAAAAGATACAAGCAAAGTAGGATACACTAAAACACGGCGCAGAAACACAGAACAGCACATTGTAAGACAAAAATCCGGCATTGCAGTCAGGATGACTTAGAGCAAAACTGGTGCACTGGTGCACTCAGAAATCTGGACAACTCTGATGGACGGGAATCGCCCGCGCGCCATCGGTCCATAATCCATTTTGCTCCGCTTCCATATCCCGCTTCCCACACTCCATATCTCCGGCGCGCGCGCACACACACACACACATCGCCCTGGGCGCGCACGTTCCTGTTCACGCCCTGGCGAGTGTGTGCCGACACGGTGTGATGATCGATCGGCAAATACTGAATGTAATGAGAGTGCACACCGCACAAGCATGAAGCACGCCTATTGGCTGGATATAGCTGATCCGAACATATTTGATGCTCACGAAGAGCAACGCGCACCGTAACAAAAATTCACAGCATAGCGTTTCACATGCAGGGAGTCATGATGGCCATGCTGATGACCGTCAGCTGAAATAGGGTGCACCAACAACAACCACCACTACCTAACACCCCAAGACCAGGCACACCGGGTGACCTGCCCCTGGGCCCCCGGGGCCGTGTGCGCGAAACCCGAGCTTTATAATGTCCCGGCCCATACCTAGCCAGGGGATACTATTACCATACTGAGCTGGCTCCGGCCCGGCCCGCCGCCCCCGCGCGAGGACGTGACAGGTTGCGCCCCGAGCAACCTGACCGCCAGTGGGACACAATTGGGAGCAGTAAGGGGGGCACGCCTCAAGGAGGGCTACCACAGTTTGTGTGTTTGCTCGGAGAAAGAACCCCACGCCTTGCACGCAAAAAAGTATTAGCTGAGATAGCTAATGTGTTAGCTGGATTCGTGATAGGTATTAATATTAGCTAGGCCAGCTAACTTTCTAGTTCTGGCGGCTAAGGTAATACCCGTAGTGGCTGGTCAGTACTGATGATGGCAAAAAAGTTAGCTGCTACAGCTAATTTTAAAATTGGCTAGTAGTAATTCGGTAGTAGTTATACTACCTATTACGTATCCATGCACCTCATCTGTTTTTTCGTTATGTCGTTTCGGCTAATAGCACGCTCTCCTCTGAGATAAAATGGTTACTTGTGGGAGCAAAACTTGATTTATAGTCACGACTTATTCTTGTCACTTCGCGCTAGACACAAAACAAAAAGTGTCGTCGCGCTTTCATCATGCCTCTATAAAAATAAAAGTAAATCCCAGTTTGAAATGCCTCGTGCAAAAGATATTTTCTACCGATATTTCATTCTGAAGCACTTTGGTTCCCAATTTTCGCGATCAGCGCATCAAGACGTGTTTCTATATATCGCCCCAGGCGAGGGTTGCGGCCAACAACAAAACAGAAGCTTAACAACAAGTGGTATCTAATGCTACTGTTGCCGCAGTTGTTGCTGCCGCTGCTCTGCGAGTTCCCAAGTTCCATAACTACGTTCAAATGGCGGCATTGCGATGGTAGGAAGTGTACGGAACTTGGCCGGTCCGACTCACCCGCCAGGCGTCCAGATTCAGATGCGGTGAGCCCCCACTCCCCCACCCCCTCCCCGGCTGCTGGTCTTGAGAGGGTTGGTCAGCGGGCGGCACCCGTTACCCTCCCACACGTAAGCCGGCCGTGCCGTGGCGCGGCGCGCCTCCAGTTCCCAAGGGGCAGCAGGGCCGAAGCGATACAAGTTTGGGGACGGCCGGCCGGGCGGCCCGCCAGCAGGCCGTGTCTGCTGACCCGTCGTCTCCCTCGCACCCGCAGGACTGCGGCCGGTGCCTTGCGGGTGCGAGGGAGACGACGGCCTGGCTGCCCGCGCACGCAGCGTCTCCCGGGGGCCCCCGCAGAGAAGCGCCGCCGCCCCGCGCCAACCCTTTCACGACCGTACATCGCCGATTGCCGGCGACCTGAAATTACACTTGGTTCCGAGTTGTAGCGGCGGCAGAAATCAGCTGGTAAGGAGTCGGCGCCACGCTCCCCGTGGGGCGCGTGAGAGGCGAGGGTGGACGCAGGCCTGGCCGCCCTGACCAGCGCTGGCGATGGTCGGGCCAAAGGCGCCAAAGGCCAAGGGGCAGCCAGGCAGACGACCACGGCCACTCGCTTTGACTCCTCGACTTGCCCTGAGCCACGCCGCGCCCGGGTGGGCGGGGGCACCCTTTGCAGGTGCTGGTCTGGCCGGCCAGCGAACGGAATGGGATCCCCTCCAGCGCCACGCATCACAGAGAGGGGGAGGGCAGGGGGCTTGGAGAAGCGCCCGCGACGTGAAAGGGACTCTGCTGGGCAGCACTGCTCTGCTCTGGGGCCGCCGCGTGTCCCTGCAACTCGAGGTAAACTTGCCGCTGGACACAGGGACCCCACAGGGTGCCCGGGGCGAGGCGGGGCTGGGCGAGGCGGGGCTGGGCGAGGCGGGGCTGGGCGAGGCGGGGCTGGGCGCGCCAGCTGGTGCGTCTGCCTCAAGTTCCGTCATCAGGCGAACAATATCGAAACTTAACTGAGAGACCGCCATCTTGCGGGGCCGCAATCGGCCGGACACGACACAATGCCATCGCAGCCGGACTATTTCCCATTTTCGTGCCGCGGCTCCTCCTCTGCTGTGCGCCTCCATTTGGTATGCAGTGTCTTGCCCGCCCCGGCCGGCCTCGCCGGCCTCGCCGGCCAGTGGTCAGGGGGAGGGCGGTATGTGCGAGGAATGCCCGAGGAACTACACAATATCAGGAGGAGATGTATAGGTGTGGTTCGCCTTGCCCCTTCCTGCACTGTGCCGTACAGGAATTACTCAACCAACTTTTGCAAGAATGTAAACGCTTCACATTATCTTCGATAATGTGCTGCCGCCTCCTTGCCTCCCACCTTTCCTTTCTAGCAGCCCAGGGACTGGTTCTTCGCCCTTCAGGGGCAGTCGGGCAGACAAGACGGACCGACGGACGCACTGCCGGACGGTCAGACAGCGCGCCACCGCACCCACACCCAACCGTACCGGTCAGCAAGACTGCCCCTGGCGCCGCCCCCTCCCTCACCTCAGGGTCTTTCTCAGTAGTTTACCCCTGCTCGGAATTTGCACAAGGATGGGCCGGACGGGCGAGGCCGAACCCCGCTGTCCACCACGAGCCGAGCCGAGTCGTCCAGCCGGGGTAGCGCAGAGCCGAGCCGAGTCCAGGCCGGGCCCAGGCCGCGCGCTCGAATCCTCCTGTGTCGTCTTCATCACTTGCTAATGAGTATTTGCTATCAAGATGGGGCGCCTTGCTCACTCCTCCCCCCTTCCACGCTGACCCTCTTCCTCCTTGTGAGGATCTCACATCGCCAACGCCCGAGGGCGTTCTGCTCAAGTACATGTGCGCGGCCAGAAGCCTCGGGCTCGCCTTTGATGTAGGAGCGGCGCGTGAGTTGGCCGGCCAAACTTAGTTGCTTACTCCACTAATGAGGCTGGTGAAATGTGTGGAGAAAAAACACCAACTGCCTACAACTGTGCTTAATTCCTCAACGCTTCGCAGTCTCGAAGAAGCTCGATTAAAAAAAGTCTCTAGTCTAGCGAGTAGTAAGGGTCATGACACAGTCAATGTCAGAGAAGCCCCGCTCCAAGCTCCCCATTTCCGAAATTTTAATGACTCTAGCGTTCTCCAGACACTTCCACCGAGTCGGCTCCGCAAGGAGTCAGAGGCCAATACATCACTGACTAATGCATGCGTACGGCTGAGGGGAGGAGGCGAGCACAAGTCTGGAGCCGCCAGCAGCCGAGCTGGACAGCTTGCCTTGTCACTTTGTGAAGTGGAGACCGACGACCTGAAGGGGTTAAGAAAACTAGGGGGAGGGCGAGACAGAAAGAGGGAGGGGG